GCAGCCGGTCAATGATTCTCTCTCATCATTGATGTTTCTATCGTTCTCTCCCTCTCCCTTCCTCTCTGTAATCAATAAAAAAATATATTTTTTAATAAAAAATAAAATTATATCTGGGTGTCCAATGGACACTTCCCTTTAAAACCACTTCTTTAACATATGGTGTCTGGGACCATATTTTACCTAGATATAGGACTTTTATTTACTCATTGCAAACAACTGGAAGAAAATTAATCATACTTAACCTTTCTTAAGGATTCGTTGAAGTTTTTCATATTTATCTGCAGAATATTTCCAACGACTGGGAGAGGAGTGGGGCCAGGTGGCAGCTTTCCTTGGGCATAGCTTCGGTTCCATAGAAAAAGGAGAATCAAACAAGAAAGACAAATCGCCAGGACAGTGAAGAGATCCATTGATGTGCTTTGCGTAAATGCAATTGAAAGTTTATAACCCAAAGATTTTGTAAATACTAAGTGCTAACTCATCTCCCAACATGCACTACGTCTCTGAACTTTGGGGTAAATATTGTTTTATCTTCAGTGTCCTTGGGCCTGCTGGTAGAGAGTACAACAAAACAAACAAAAACTCATAGATACGCAACAGAGCTGTGATTACCAGAAGGGTGAAGAGGACTAGGAAGGTAAAGGGGGCCAAACATAGGGTGATGGAAGGAGACTAGATTTTTGGTGGTGAGCACACACTATACAGATGTTGTATTATTTTAAAGTTGTACACCTGACATTTATATGTGTATTAACCAACTAGAGGCCTGGTGCACGAATTCGTGCACGGGTGGGGTCCCTTGGGCTGGCTTGTGGAGATCGGGCTCCAGCTCGCACCCCCAGCCTCGCAACCCCGCAGCCCTGCCTGGCACCCCGCCTTGGCCTGGCACCGCCTCTTCACCTGCTCCACCATCCTGCCCACGGGGCCCCCTGCCCAGCTCCCTCAGTGCCTGGGAGCCAACCAGCAGCCCCGCCCCCGTGGCCACCCCTGGTCACTGTCTGCGGGGCAATCGGCAGGGGGATTGGGCCCCTGCTCGCACCTGCCTTGGCCTGGTGCCACCCACTCACCTGCTCCACCACCCCGCAGTGGTCCCATTCTCGTCGGGGCCCATGGGGGCCGGCAGTGCCTCCACTGCTTCCCCCTGCCAGCGCCAAGTGGCAGATGCCCGCCATGTTCCACACCACCCCCTGGTGGTCAGCACACATCATAGTGAGCGGTCAAACTCCCAGTCTCCTGGTCGAACCCCCAGTCGAATGACCGCCCGAGGGGACAATTTACAAATTAGGCTTTTATTATATAGGATGTTATCTCGATAAATTTTTAGAGAGGAAAGGAGAGACAAAAACATCAATGAGAGAGAATTATCAACTGGTTGCTTCCTGGACGTCCCCTACTGGGTATTGAGCCCACAACCCAGGCATGTGCCCTGATTGGGAATCAAACCGTGACCTCCTGGTTCATGGGTCAATGCTCAACTACTGAGCCACACAGGCTGGGCCCAATAAATTTAATTTTGAAAAAACAGTCACCTTAGTATAGAGAAATATCTAGGTTTTCAACTAAGTTTTAGTTGGAAATTTCAACTAAAAAATAACTCTAACTTCTTCAGAGATGGCCAGATTTTAATAGTGAAATTGAAAGCTAACACATTTTCAAAGGGCTAAAATGCATAATCTTGACAAATGATGAAAGATAATATCGCATATGAAAATTTATCATCATATGTGCAGAAAAAAGCACTCCCATTTTTAAAAATTTATTAATTTGAGAGAGAGAGAGAGAGAGAGAGAGAGAGAGAGAGAGAAAAGGAAACAGAGAGAAAGAGAAACATCGATTTGTTGTTCCACTTATTTATACACTCATTAGTTGTTTCTTAGGCCATGGTCAAGTAGCTCCAACTAGCTGAGTTACTTGGCCAGGGCCTAAGAAGCACTCTCTTGGTGCATTTTCCCAGAAAATCCAGGGAAAGGCCAGGATCAATGACAGAGAGGAGGAGGCAGGGTGAAAAAGAACGGTATAGGGAGCTAGTCTTAGAGTAGAGACAGCCCAACTCTCTTGGCAGAGCCCTTTCCGACTATATGTCAGGAGTTCTGGCACCACTTATTCTCAAAGGAGATGCCGAGCCAACACAGATACTGCCCTGCCCAGTTAATAAAGGGTAGGACTGGCATTTGAACCTAGGACATCTGACACATCACATATGCCAATTATAATTTAAGAAAAGGAGAAATGAACCAGATGATGTGGCTCAGTGGTTGAGCATCAGGCTCTGAACCAGGTCACAGTTCGATTCCAGGTCAAGGCACATGCCCAGGTTTCTGGTTTGATCCCCAGTAGGAAGTGTATCAAGAGGCAGCCGACCAATGATCCTCTTTCATCATCGATGCTTCTATCTCTCTCTCCCTCTCCATTCCTCTCTGAAATCAGTAAAAATATTTTTTAAAACAAAAAGAAAAAAGAAATGAGTACCGATAGAACAGCAGCCTATGGGGAGAGAAGTCCCCATATTAGGAGCCGTGGAGTGTGGACCCAACACAGGACTCCAATGTTGTAGTCTTCTACACAGCGGGGAGGTCCTGAGAGAGAGAACATCCCTCCACAGCTTCTGTAGCGGCAGAGGAGCAAGTCTAACAAGCACTTACCTGGTATTCAAGCTTAAGTTGGAGGGTGGGGAACTAACTACATCAAAAATACCTCAGTCTGGGAAGACAACCGTATCTAGATTTCACAGACAAGAACATAACATATTTAGATCAGTATCTAATAAAATTAAAATTCTACTTTACACCCCATAAGAGACATACTTTAAAAACAGTCTTCCGGCCCGGCCGGCGTGCTCAGTGGTTGAGCATCGACCAATGAACCAGAAGGTCATGGTTCGATTCCTGGTCAGGGAACATGCCAGGGGTTTGAGCTCAATCACCAATAGGGGGTATGCAGGATGCAGCCAACCAATGATTCCCTCTTATCATCGATGTTTCTATCTCTCTGAAATCAATAAAAATATATTAAAAAATAATAAATAAAAACAGTCTTCTGTAAAACCACTATTAGATCCTACATAATAAAGATGTATAAAAACAGTCTTCTGTAAAACCACTATTAGATCCTACATAATAAAGATGTAATATGCAAATGATCATTATGCCGTGAAGCATAACGACCGACAGCGTAACAACCGGATCACCGATCAGCAGGATGATGGGGCAGCGAGCTATAAGCGGGCAGCAGAGAGCTACAGGAGGGGGCAGGGCAGCAAACTATGAGGGGGGGAGGGGGTGGGGCATCGAGCTACAAGGGGGCAGCTACAAGCGGGCAGGGCAGCGCAGCGGAGAGCTACAGGAGGAGGTAGGACAGCAAGCTGTGAGGGGGGGGGGGGGGAGCTACAGGAGGGCAGGGCAGCAGGCTGAGAGCTACTGGAGGGCGACAGCAAGCTACTGGCACACGGATTCGTGCGCAGGGCTACTAGTTTTTAAATAAGTGCCTAGAGAATCTTAAAGTATTTTAAAAGAAAACAAATTGCTTTCTTTAATTAAAAAATAATTATTATTTTTATTTGTAGAATTCTGTGAAGTTTATGAAGCACTTTTGTGAGTATCTCATTATTTGAATCTCATAATCAACCCACAAGACAGGTAATTTTATTCATTTTACAGATGAGGAAAATTATAATTAGAACTGAAGAAATTCACCCAAATTTCCACTTCTAAGGCAGAGTAGGCACTCCAGCTCTGGTTTTATAACTTATGGACTCTGCATTGAAAATTATTTCAATTTAACTGTATTTCACAAACATTTGTTGAGTAATTATTAGGTATCTGGCAGTCTCACTTTGGCATTAAATATTTGATTTAAAATTAAACCATTACTGAGTCAATGATTTCACCATGGGTAAATAAAAGTGAGAGTTCAGACAAGTTTGTTGCTTTGTAATCTTTAGAATTTCAGTTAGCCAGGGTTCAAAGATTCAAAGAACTCGATTTCAAAGCAATACAGTGATTAGCTGCCCAACCCCACAGCTGATGTACACTGCCTAGGACATTTCTGGTCCTGGAGGAGAGCAGATTAAAAAAAAAAAAATTTTTTTTTATTGATTTCAGAAAGGAAGGTACAGGGAGAGAGAGATAGAAACAACCATGATGAGGGAGAATCATTGATTGGTTGCCTCCTGCACGCCCCACACTGGGGATTGAGCCTGCAACTGGGGCATGTGCCCTGACCAGGAATCAAACTATGACCTCCTGGTTCATAGGTTGACATTCAACCACTGAGCCACACCAGCTGGGCAGGCGAGCAGATTTTAAACAGCTTATATAGATTTTGAAAAATTTTATCACTCTCTCACTGTCTCTCTTCAGAGCTATCCGTTGGCCTGAGAAACGTGTATCTCAGATGTCTTTGCTGAAGGTTAAGGCGATGTTGTCCAGTACAGCAGCTAGTGGCACATGCTGAAATGATACTACTTTGGGTATATAGCACTAAAAGACATATTATCAAAATTAATTTTACCTTTTTTCCCAATGTGACTACTAGAAAGTTTAAATTACATTCGTGGCTTGTATTCCATTTCTATTGAACAGTGACGGAGCATTCCTTCATGGGTAATTCACCAAACATTTGTGGACAATCTCCCTGCTCAGCACTGAACAGTCAAAGCTGAAAAAGACCGAGGGTCAGCTCTTAGGGGGCTTCATGCCTTTCAGGAGACGAGTGGTTAGTGTCCCGTGTGATGTGTGCCAGAGAGGAGCGCCCTGGGTACGGGGCACGGCCGAGCGGCATCCTAGGCCTGGTGGGCATCAGAGAAGCCCGTCTAAAGGAGGGGTGCTGGGGCTTAATCCTGAAAGACTACTGATGTTACCTAAACCGAGAAATGGAAGAAGAGTGCTCCCAGTCAAAGCTTGATCAAGCGAGAAAGGACACCATACTGCCTTAGAGTCCATACATTTATTGAGTAAAAACAAAACCAACGGCAGACACAGTCAATTCGGTTTGCTTCTGATTGGGCTGCTGTCCGTGTGCAGCAGAGACGAACTGAGGTGAAGAGAGGATGCTGGCAGGGGACACGGAACAAAACGCTCTTCCATGTACTATAAAGGCAGCATCACAGGGCAGTGGGAGCCAGTTAGCACAGGCGGGGACGCCACGTTTATGTGCAGGGATCAAACCACAGGGAGCAGGGACCTCCGAGAGAGGAGAGGGCGGGGCAGGGACGAGGCGCGACAGGGCTAGTGGGAGAATAGTGTTCGGTGCAGATCTGCTGGCTCACTTGGGGAACACAGTGACCACGTCGTAGCCTTCCGGTGGGGTGACCCGCTCTCGGGCATGCTTTTCACAGTAGATTTGATCTTCCACAAAGAAATGGCCCTTCTGCTTCAGGTTTGTGCCACAGTCGGTGCACACGTAACACTCAGGGTGGCGGTGGTGGTCCCGCAGCTTCACGAACACGCCGCTGCGGGAGGCAGGGAGGAAGCGGCCCCGTTAGTGACAAGCACAGGATGGTGGCACCAGGGCCAGGGGCTCCCCCAAAAGGCCCATAAAAGACAGAGCAGGCCTCCCATTCCTGGGGTCCAGAGACTTTACTCTTGAAACCTTCCAGAAGTCTCTCCCAGGTCAATAGCGTGGCCCCACTTCTTCTGTTTTTGTTTTGTTTTTAAATATATTTTTATTGATTTCAGATTAGACGAGAGAGGGAGAGAGAGAGATAGAAACATCAATGATGAAAGATGATCATTGATCAGCTGCTGCCTGCACGCCCCCTCCTGGAGATCAAGCCTGCAATCTGGGCATGTGCCCTTGACCAGAACTGAACCTGGGACCCTTCGGTCTGCAGGCCAACGCTCTATCCACTGAGCCAAACCAGCCAGGGCTTCTTCTGGTTTTATATGTTCGTACCCTAAGGGTTCTCTGCTGAGGAAATCAGCACCTGGCTCCGGGGCACAGAACCTACCTGGCCGCTCTGCTCCGTATTCCAGGTGGGGTTTCTTTTCTTCCCATCACACCCAGCATGTGCAACATTCAGCACTCTCCTCACTGTCATGGTTTACTCAACGTGTAGGGCCCCCAATGCCCTGGGAAGGCAGATACTCACACGATGCCGGTGCCGCATTTGTCACACATGGGCAACTTCTGGGCATTTCCAATCGATGCAGCCACTTTGGTGACCGGAGCTTTAACACTTCTGAATCCCGAGGGCTTGTTGGGATCCCCTAAAATGAGGAACACACGTGGGTTGGTCGGGAAGAGCAGGATTGCATAAGCATCCCTCAGCTCTTTCAGAGCCATTTATATGTGCGTCCCAGCAAGGCCATGGGCAATGGAGTCAGACCTGACTGCGATCCTGGGTGAGTTACTTAATTTCTCTGGTTCCCAGTTTCCTTTTCTATAAAACAGATTTCTTTTTTTCGTTTGTTTTCCCTTCACGGTGTCACAAAAAGATTTTAAAATGCACATAAAGCCCTCCCACAGTACCTGGCACGTGGTCGGCCCACAAAACACACATTACATTCTGATTAAATACATGCAAACAATGATAAGGGTACTTAAAAATGCCTTAGAAAGAATACATCAATGGAAATATTATCTGATCATCAAAAGACTGTATTTAGAGGGTGAAAAAATCCAGTTCACCAGAACAAACACTACAGCATCGCTCAACAAGCAGCCGGAGGAAAATCGCCTGCTACCGAGCACAGCAAGCAGCTTCCTGAAGTCAGCTCCATGCACCTAAACCACCCATTGCCGGGTGCTGACCGGGCCACAGCCCAGTTCATTGCGTCTTCAGAGCTCCACGCCACGGCAGCTATTAGTAACAGTAAGCTCCCAATGTTACCATTATTGCTATATATTTGGCTGGCTGTGTTTCCATATCACTTATTTCTCTACTGTGATGTGCCCTAGTTGTATTGTTATGCTCACTGGCTATATGCACGCCTCTGTCCAGATTGCAAACTAATAGAACACTAGAACGCTGTTTTACATATTTGTCAATATTCCACAGAGCCTAGCGTAGGGCTTAGCAAATAACAGAGGCTCAGTAAGTACCTGGGAATGAAAGGTGAAATGTCATGACGAATGCAGGATGGTCTCTACCTTAGTCCAACATGCTTTAACTCAAGAAGCTAGAGGAGAGGAGGAGGGAGGGGCACCAGAGCCTCCTACTAGGCGGAGCGTCCACCTCCCTTTGTGCAATAAGAAGTCAATCCAAAACTGGGCACAAGCTGGAGCAGCTGGATAAACCCATCCCGGCTGCAGCTTGTTCGGCTCTGCAGCGCCACCTGCTGATGGGATTTTCTTCTCTCTCTTATTCAGCCAACACTGCAAACGCAAAGTTCATTTTACCGCCCTCTCAACCAACTTACAGTAAAAATACCAGCTCCCTTAGCACTCTGGGCAACTACCAACATTTCCAAATTTTCATTCTTTCAGGGAACCTTGAATATCAAAGCTTTCTGGATAAAAAAATGAAAATGAGTTGAATAAAGCACAGCTTTCTTTTTATCCATCTCACTGCTTAGCATGGCTCCCCATGGTCTAATATAATCCAATTCCTGGTCCTTAACATAGCACCTGGTGACCTCCACGATCTGACTCCAGACCATCTGAGGATTCTCCTGGAACCCCGGGCATCAGCCATTATGAACCTCGATATTTAATGAGCCAGTCCAGGTTTCTTATCTCAGAACCTCTGTGATTTCACTGTGTTTTCTCAACCCATGACGTCTCCTTACAAATTTTCTCTCGTTGAAAGCCTCCTTTAATAGACAAATAAGTGGGTAACAAGAAATGGTATATATGTATCATACTGTTCAGCCTTAAAAAGAAAGGACCTTCTGGCCCAGCTGGCCTGGCTCAGTGTTGGAGCATCAACCTATGAACCAGGAGGTTACAGTTCAATTCCCGGTCAGGGCACAGGCCCGGGTTGTGGGCTCCATCCCCAGTAGGGGGCGTGCTGTTTCTATCTCTTTCTCCCTTTCCCTTCCTCTCTGAAATCAACAAAAATATGTTTTTTTTTAAAAGAATCCTATATACTAAGAGAGGAATATGCTAATTAGCTCTTACGCCCTGAGGCGTAACACCAAGTGCATCACGACCAGATCATGGGTCAGCAGGAAGGTGGGCCAGCGAGGCACAAGCAGGCTGTGGAGAGCTACAGGAGGGGGCAGGGCAGCAAGCTCTGAGGGGGGGAGGGGGAACTACAGGAGGGCGGGGCAGCGGGCAGAGAGCTACAGGAGGGCAGCAGCGACCTACTGGCGCAAGCATTCGTGCGCAGGGCTACTAGTAATAATAATGAAAAGAAAAGAAAGGTCCTTCTAACACAAGCTACAACATGAATGAACCTTGAGGACGTTATGCTGAGTGAAATAAGCCAGTCACAGAAGGACAAATATGGTTTGATTCCATTCATAGGAAACCCCTGAGACAGTCATGGAAACAGAAAGCAGAACGGTGGTTTCCAGGGACTGGGGGAGTTAGTGTTTCATGGGCAGAGTTTCAGTTCTGCAAGATGAAGAGTTCTGTGATGAATGAGGGTGACTGCAGCACAGTATGAATGTACTTAATGCCTCTGAACTGTACACTTCAAAATGAGAAGGCCCATTGCAAGTCTTTGGAGTTATCACCAAATCCTGCTGCACACGCGTGGGGACCTCGGTGACTGCACCTGGCACCTGACCACGTGCTGTTTCCTTCGTGCGGAAACAAGGGCTTAGAGGTCTCACAGCGGGTCAAGGGCGGGTCCCAGGTGCAAGTCCTGTCTACCTTGCAGTGCTGCTTTACCAACCAGAGCCTTCTTGAATGACAGGAGCCCTCATCAGGGGTTCCCAATGCAGCAGACAGCCTCCTAATGCTGACTCCTAATGCTCCTGTGACAGGAAACAGCTGGGCTAGGTGTGGTGGGAGCTCATTCATATTCTCTCTCTCTCTCTCTCTCTCTCTCTCTCTCTCTCTCTCTCCTCACTTCTCCTCTCCTCTCCCAGCTTTTAGGATCTTAAAAGTCACACCTTGCAAAGCACACTGTGCTCTCTCCACAGTGGGGTGGGGGGCACCCTGCAGTCACCTTTGTTTGCACAATGACTGGATGACTGGCCCTCGCCCTGGGCCTTGAACAAGAGCCGCTGGCCACCCGCAGAGCTGATTACCTTTCTCCTCCGATTCCAGGATCTCCTGCAACACCAGGAATGAAGTGGACTGTTTCGGGGGCTCATTTAACTCCTGTTTCTCCTGAAGCATCTTGTAAACTTCGGATTCTTTGTCGATGACGAGTCCACTTGGAGACTGAGAATGCTCTAAGCTGTAAAGAATGTTTGGAAATTCATTAAGACATGTCAGAAGTTAAAAAAAGCTCCCCAGGCACCCCCTTCCAAGGGAGGACACCCCTGAACCAAAGGGTGGGTGGGCCCCATGCTGATGGAAGAAGGTCTCCTGCCGATACTGCGAGGTGCCCGGAGCCAGAGCTGGCTGCTGCTTCAATGCCGTCAGGAGCTATTTTTCAAAAGAGTTTTAGTCACTCAATTACATGTTGGCCTAATCCCATGGAATGGGAATGTTTTGCTTCTTTCTAAATTACATAAACAACATTATGCCAAGAGAAAATTTAGCAACGGGAAAAAGTCAACCGCGACCTGACCACTGAAACCCCAGCGGGTCCCTGAGCACAGGCCACGTGTTCCCTCACCAGCAGAAATCGCAGTGCCCGGACTCCTAAGGACAGCAGCCTGCTGCTGCCTCTCTGAACCCTCATACTTCTCGTGCAAGGGGCTCTGGTCTCCTCGCCCACAACACAGGACAACAGCATCTGCCCTGCCCCGCCCACAGGGTTGGCCCTGAGGATGAAAAACCCCAGGGCTTTTGTAAACTGTCAAGTTCTGTTCTGCTGCAAGGAGGGGGCAGAGGCCTCAGAGCAGACCCAGGGACTGAGCAAGCCAGCCTTGCCTCCCGCACCTTCCCGGCCTCCCTGGGTTCCCCAGACAGGATGAGACAGGCGGGGTTGGGGGCTCCTTCCCCCAGGGCCCATGTTCCAGGGAGGAGCCTCTGAGTTAGAAGAGGGGGGAGACTCAGTCCCCTTAACCTGACATCTGTCCTGATCCCAGGCCTCCCAGCACCCCCACCCCACCCCCACCGCATGCCCAAGCCACACCACCGCACAGCAGCACAATGGATCCACCTTGCAACTTGTCCCTCGTCTTGTGTTCAACCAGAGGCCACAGTGGTATTTTAAATAATTTTTTAAAAATTGAATTCGGAGAGTAAGGGAGAGGGAGATAGAAACATCAATGATGAGAGAGAATCATCGATTGGCTACCTCCTACACGCCCGTTACTGGGGATCAAGGCCGCAACCCAGACCCGTGCCCTGACGGGGAATCGAACCGTGACCTCCTGGTTCATAGGTCGACACTCAACCACTGCGCCACACCAGCTCTGGGTCACAGTGGTATTTTAAACACAGGAATCAGACTGTTGAGATGTGGCTTAAGTGTTCTCATCCGACTTAGGACCACATATGTAGTTTTAGTAACAAAATACAAATTTAATCAAACGCATCTCCTGTGGAGTAAATGTTCACTACAACGTAGAAAGGCCCTGAAAGACGTGGCTCTGCTTTCCTCTCTAAACAGATCACCTCCTGCCGCTCAGCCACAGATGCTTTTTCAGAAGCTGCCAACTCCGAGGGTAGAGGGACAGTGTGCCCAGGGAGCCAGGAGCAAATACCAGAAGGTGGTGCAATCTATCCACGCGGCAAGTTTGTGAGCAGCTGTAGTTTGTGAGTAACGAACCACACGCCATCCAGCCCACCAGGCTGTCTCCCAGGTAAGGATGCAGGCAGACGCAGGCCGTGGCTGCCAACCGTTTCTCAGCGAATCTAACCACCTTGTCCTTAGGGCTGAGGCCATGGTTACACATGCAAATGAATTACAGTGATTATGTTCTACTCACTCATTTCCTACCCATGGAGTAGTTATTTCACATTCCATTTTAAAAAGAAAACGGAGGTATATGTTTCCTGGGCCATTCTCCCCGTTACCGCCCCCCTCCCTCCCTTATCCGTCAGCCTCCTGGGGCACTGGATGCTCATGTCCGGCTGGAAGCGGCGTCACCTGCTCCAGTGGAACCCCAGATTACCCCTTTGACTACAATCAGGCTCTCACGATAGAGGACGAAGCCCTCAAGCAATGACACATGCTTTGCTGATGCCACCCAAGGTCAGGATTCAAGAAGAAAGACTCATCAGCTGGTCACTCCTGCTGGCTGCCATGGTCCCTGCCTTTGCCTGTCCCTCCCACCGCAGGGAACTGTGGGAGCCTCCCAAGGGCCACCTTGAAGAATAGCTTTAACCAGGAGCCATGTCTTCCTCTGGCCCACCTATCAGCACCGAGGTTCGAGCTCTATGCCTCACTCCTTCTTTGGGTCTGGAGTTCTGAGCTTGCCCTATAATAAATGTATTATATTATTTTTGGTGAATCTTTTTTCTCTTACATGTAGGACTATTTTAAAATCAAGATCAGACCATGGAATGTGCTTAGGGAGAATTTTCCCCCTCCTTGGGTGTATGCTGTTATGTCTGGAAGCCGCCGAGGGAACGCTAAAAACGACAGAACCCAAACCACAAGGTCATCACATATTCTCCCAGCAAACAGTCCTGCAAAGCATTCCCAGGATTAAAAAAAGGGAAAACAATTTACATTTTTTCTCAAATAATGGTAATATATTCCTACCGCTTGACAATTTATAAAGCACTTCCAATATCCATTACCTTATTTGAAGCATTGATATACAGCTAATTCAGAAATAGTATCCTAAGACACAAAGTCTAAGTCTTAGACATCAGACTAGGAGATATTCATAAATGACTTCACAATATCTTAAAAAATAATTCTAGGACAAAAATACACATTAGAAATGCAGGGGGGAAAAGTACTGTCACTTTTATATATAGTAACAGCATTGAAGGAAAGAATTCCATAGTGATAAGGTTTCAAAAAATATCATATGCATGACTGAGTCACCAGGAGGAAAGGAAACTTGTAGGGGTGGGATGCCAAGAGTCACCACATTCTTCTAAACCCAATCCTTCCAATTGTAGTAGCAACATACAAGTTTAATCATTTCAACTTCTTCGGAGCAACTACACATTACAGCTGTGTTTCCTAGCCCTTGTTTCTTCCTGAGTCATATTTGGTGCTGACTCATATGTGGTGCATTAATTACCTAAATGTTTAATATTTTCTCCTGCTCCTTTAGGCCCTGACCGTAGGGCCTGTCTCCCCAGGGACATCACGGACAGGCCACTCCCAGCCTGTGGAGGTGGCTGACACCGCCAGGCATTTTAGGATGCCAGTGGTATTTAGAATGTAAGAAGAAACTCCCCTGAGCTGGCTTCCAGAGGAAGATTTCAGAGGCCTAGCCTACAGCCTTGCATGACACACAGCCTGCTGCAGCCACAGGAGCAGCTGGGGTGAAGGTCAGAATGTCAAGGAGGACAGGGAACAGCCTGGCTCTGGGAGCTGGATCCGCACTGCGAAAATACAAGTAAATGGAAAGGCATCCATGTTCATGGAAAAGGTAATGTTATTAAAATGTCCAATAAAATATCCATACTGCCCAGCCCGTGTTTGCTCAGTGGTTGAACACTGACCCATGAACCAAGAGGTCCCCAGTTCGATTCCCAGTCAGGGCACGTGCCTGGAGTTTCAGGCTCAATCCCCAGTAGGGGGCACGCAAGAGGCAGCTGATCAATGTTTACCTCCCTCTCCCTTCCTCTCTTAATAAAAACATGTTTTTTAAATGGTTTAGATGATGTATGTTACGCTATGTGTTTTTAACCAAACAATAAAAAAAGATAAATCCTCAGAACAGAAAAAAAGGAACCAATGATACATTTCAAAAATCTCAAGAGCCCTAGCTGGTTGGGCTCAGTAGATACAGCGTCAGCCTTCGGACTGAAGGGTCCCAAATTCTATTCCAGTCAAGGGCACATGTCTGGGTTGTGGGCTTGATACCTAGTAAGGGGTGTGCAGGAGGCAGCCAATCAATCAATGACTCTCTCTCATCATTGATGTATGTATTTCTCTATCTCTCCCTCTCCCTTTCTCTCTAAAATCAATAAAAATGTATATATTTAAATTATTTTTTAAAATCTCAAGAAATGAAACAAGTCTCCAGTGAATTATGCTGAGTAATAAAAAGCCAATCCCTGAAAGTTACATACTATATGATTCCATCAGAATAACATTCTTGAGCTAACAAAACGATAGAAATGGAGAGCAGATTAGTGAGTTGCCAAGGGGGGGTGGTTGGGAGGGTGCAGGGATAGGAGGGAAGCAGGTGTGGCTATGAACGAGCAGCCTGAGGAATCCTTGAGGTGATGGACATGTTCTGTCTTGATCGTATTCATGTCCGTATTCTAGTTTTGTTGTGCTGTAGTTTTCAAGACGTTACCATGGAGGGAAACTGGGTAAAGGGTGCAGGGATCCTTGCTATTATCTCCTGTAACTGCAAGTGAATTACGCCAAAATAATAAAAAGTTTAATTCATTTTAAGAATCCTTTCCCCAAATGATGTGCAGATAATACTAACTATCCCCCAAAGTGCTAATTGGAAATGTTAATGCCTGATTTTCATGCAGGTTCGGGTAAAGAAGGTACACTGACTCGGATAAATCCTCATGTCTGGGATACCCTGGTTACCCAATGTTCACAAAAAGTGCAATTCGTGTTTAGAAGGGGAGCCGGGTCAGAATGCTCCTTAAGGCAGTGATGGCGAACCTTTTGAGCTCGGCGTGTCAGCATTTTGAAAAACCCTAACTTAACTCTGGTGCCGTGTCACACATAGAAATTTTTTGATATTTGCAATCATAGTAAAACAAAGACTTATATTTTTGATATTTATTGTATATATTTAAATGCCATTTAACAAAGAAAAATCAACCAAAAAAATGAGTTCGCGTGTCACCTCTGACACGCGTGTCATAGGTTCGCCATCACTGCCCTAAGTTTTAGTCTTCAAAGGCCTAGATGCTGGGCCTGTAATAAGAAACCAGAGGAGTAATTATGGGCCCGGGAGAAGGCGGAGGAACACCCGGTCTCTGTGGCTGCGGGCAGTTTAGCTGGAGGGGCCAACAGCCGCCTCCTGACGGAGCTGACCAGCTCCGAGTGAGTCAGGCCTAACATAATCCCGCCTATCAGCTGAATAGAACAATGCATCTCATTATTTCCTCTGCACCTGCTTAGAAATCCGCCTGGTGAGTATATGGCAGGGTTGCCTGAAAACACAATTTGGAACTAGTAGTATCTTGAGACCGTCGTGTTGGTTATGGGAACCCAACCGATTACTTGATGAAGGGGCCACCGATACACAGGACGGTGACTAGCCGAGCTGGTTGGCTGAACTTAAGCTGCGGTGCTGGGAAAGAAAGAAGCTTATCGTAAGTCACAGCGAAACGTGACTTCTCCATGACGCCCGTCTACATGCTTCTGCTCTTCTGGGGGAAGCCCCTGTGCTCCCGAGTGAAGGGCGCGGAGTTCCTCAGGGGCAGTGAAATCAGTAGTAACTGAGCTCCTGCCAGGGGCCAGGCACCAACGTGAGCGCTCCTCACGCATCGCACTTCGTTCTCTCAGTAACCGGGGGATAGTTAGTACGACCCGCACTCCATGGGAAGAGGACGAAGTCTCCTGGAAGCTTTCTGGTTTGCCGGCGATCACACCGCTAGTAAGAGGCAGAGCTAGAACGGGAGCCCAGGCCCCGCTATCTACACAGCCTGTACCTTTAGGAAAGTATCCAGCACCATCACATAGATCAAGGGTGGGGAACCTTTTTTCTGCCAAGGGCCATTTGGATATTTATAACATCATTCTCGAGCCATACAAAATTACCGACTTAAAAATTGGCCTGCTATATTTGGTCAAACATTTCATATACTCACCCCTCATGCCTTGGCAGGGCCAGACCAAATGATTTCTCGGGCCGGACGTTCCCCAGCCCTGACATAGATAATGAAATCTAGGCCCCAAATCATCACAGAATGACCCGAGAGCCCCTAAACTCAGTTCAAAGAGGTCAGACGGCAGGTGAAATGCCGGACAGAGCAGTATTTCCTGCGCCCACAGGTGCACAGGAGGCGCTTACTAAATAACTGTTAAACTGAACAGATCCAGCGGCCCTCCCACGCAGCTGCGCGTGTGCTGGGAGGACTGGCGGGTCCCCCGCGTCTGCCTTCCCAGTTAAATTGGGAAGTGACAATGCCGTCTGTGTTCTTGTCTGATGAGGACATGGCCCTGGGACATCCTACAAGACAGACACAAACACACACACACACACACACACACACACACACACACACAAGGCCGCTTTGAAGTGCACGGGACAAAGAAACTCAGAGTCAGCACCAAGGGGTCAGGGATGACCTCAGATGCCAAGCTAGCCTTGGGGAGAAAAGCAAGGGGCGCCTTCCTTGGCTGGGGGTGCACAGGGGCCGCTCTAGCAACAGGCCGGTAAGCAGAGACCCCACAGGCAGGCAGCACAGCCTGTCCGGGCGGTTTCTGGGCCGTGAGCTCCTGGTGTTCCCAGTTTCTGGATTCATCCTCAGAGTCTGGGATGGAGTGGGACCTGGGCCCCTCTGGCGAGGAAATCTGAAAGGTGACTTTGGATAAAGGCTCAGAGGCCACTGCAGCCAACAAGTCTTCAACCGGAGGGGACAGGGGCTGGAGGGAAGGCTTGCACAGTGTCCGAACAGTCTCAGACCTAATTGTTTCAGACTGAGGGAGGGAGCAGGCGGGGAGCATGAGAGAGGAAGAAAGGAGACATTAATGAAGGAATAACGGCCAGAGCCATACTAAAAATACCTCCCAGGCACATATTCCTCCCCGTGCATAGCAGCTCTTTCAATTAGGATGTGTCATTTCCTGGGTTATTGACTCCAGAACAGGGAACATTCCACTTGGGGACAGTGACAGAAGGTCACGTTCTCAGCCTCCCCCAGCACCAAGGCAGCAAAGAAGAGCAATCATGGCCAGGGTGTTTCCACCACTCAGCTCCCCCCGAGCTGCTGGAGAGAAAGCCGCCCTTCAGTGTGTGCCCGTGGAAAGCCTGGGCGGCCCAGCATGCTCTCTGTTTCGGGTACCCCAAAAGCTCCCCCTGTCACCCCAAAGGACATCATCACCTCAAGCCAGCAGGCCCTGCAGGAATCAGAATCTGGGGAAGAAGCATCAGTAGCCATTTTGCCTTGGTTACTGCAATGACTGCAGGGACAGCTGGTAAAGCCAAAGTCACATAGCCAAGTCCCCCCTGCTGGACGCTAAGAAACTGGAAAGGAACTCGCAGTGCCTTTCGGTGCCGGGCACGGGAGACCTGCGTGCAGCGGTTGCCCAATAGCATCTGGCTCTTCTTCAGAGAAAGGGGAACTACACGGGTGATACGGCCAAGGAGCCCTCAAGAGGCCCACACAGCCCTTTCCAAACACTGAAGTCGCTTGGAACCTCTTGTGCCTTAACGTCTCCTACCCGGCATTTGAAGCAATGGACTTGCAATTTAATCACCCTCAGAGCTGGGCAGATTCTTATTAAAGGTGAATTGGGGAGATACTGAACAACGAAATGGGTTCAGAGCTAACACAAGAACTGCGGATTCCACTCAATCCTCAGAGATCAGACAAGTCTGGACCACACATATTTTCCAACAACTTTGATTGTCACCAACATTAAAGATCAGGAAATTTCAGATAAAAAGAGGCATTTAGACTTCCATTCCATTGCAACTAATCAGCAAAAATGAGGCTCCGAGGCCAGCATGTGGGGACAGGCTGGAGCCAAGGAGTGGTTCCCCTCTGGATGGGGCGTGCACGGGCCAGCCG